TTGCGGCTTATTTCCGTTTTGTTGTGCTAATTTTCATTGTGTTGTGGCTTATTTCTGTTCTGTTGTGCTAATTATGTTACCTTGCGGCTTATTTCCGTTTTGTTGTGCGAGATTTCGTTGTGTTGTGGCTTATTTCTGTTCTGTTGTGCTAATTATGTTACCTTGCGGCTTGTTTCCGTTGTGTTGTGGAGATTTCGTTGTGTTGTGGCTTATTTCTGTTCTGTTGTGCTAATTATGTTACCTTGCGGCTTGTTTCCGTTGTGTTCTGGAGATTTCGTTGTGTTGTGCACTACTGGGCCACCGTAGAAGATAGTAACAATGACTGTAAATTAATAAAAAAAATAGTTATTTTAAATTTGAATAATATTTAACAAATTGACTGTTTTATAGTTTTATTGACCAAATAAATGCAGCATTGGTGAGCATAAGAGACTTCTCAACATGAAAAAATCTGACAGAGAATCATTTATAAATGAAAACAACAAAAAAACTAAAATCACCTTTTTTCCATTTCATTTTTCAGAGCTCGGTTCCTTTTGGGTGGTCGCCATGGGGATTTTAAGTTTTTGCCCCCTCCTGGTTACACACCATGTTATGAAGCTCTTCTCCCCAAAGACAGAATGCGCATCGAGCACATTAAGGAGTATAAACATGACTTTAATGGAGTCAGAAACCTGCTGGGCCCCACACAGTCCCTTACACACACTTCATTCACTCCCTGTCCTGTTGACACTGCCCAGGTAAACTAAACTGACCACATACAACTCCACTGTTGCTTGCCAAAAACACTTTGACTCAGCAGTCAGTGTATGTATTGTGTATGTAATGTCATTTTTAGATTGTTCTACCTCCTCATTTGGAGCGGATCAGAGAGAAGCTTGCAGAAAACATCCATGAGCTCTGGGCTGTGACTCGTATTGAGCAGGGTTGGACCTACGGAGTGGTGAGCGCCTTCTTTCTCTGTCTTTCTCAAATAAACACCAACGCAAGCACAAGCATACTGTACATACAAAATCAACATCCTTATTAAAAAGTTAAATGCTCTCTCTCTCTCAGTTCAGGGATGATAATAAGAAGTTGCACCCGTGTCTGGTGGACTTTCAGAATCTTCCAGAACCCGAGAGGAATTATAACCTCCAGATGTCTGGAGAGACCTTGAAGTGAGTGTCTGTTGAATATCAAAGGTCTAAATTTCATTGCTTATGCATCCATCTGTCCTTCTGACCTGCATCTGACTTTTTTCACCTTGACCTCTCCAGAACCCTCTTAGCTTTGGGCTGCCATGTAGGCATGGGAGATGAGAAAGCTGAGGAGAATCTGAAGAAGATCAAATTGCCCAAAACGTAAGAAAACCAAAAAACGCACCCAGGTTTTTGTCTTGTATAATGTATAGTGTTTTGGTTTTCATGTTTTTCTTTTTCTTGGTCAGTTATGTGATGAGCAGTGGGTACAAACCAGCTCCACTAGACCTCAGTCACGTCAAACTGACACCCAATCAGAACCAGTTGGTGGAGAAGTTGGCAGAAAATGGGCATAATGTTTGGGCACGGGACAGAGTGAGACAAGGATGGACCTACAGCATTTTGCAGGTAGATGTGGATACTATGCTGACTCTGTCACAATAAAACATGTTTCTAAGTGAGAAAATTGTCCTCAGTCATCCTCAGTCGCTGTGTTAACTAGTTTTCTATTTAACTGGTTTACTGAAATTTTATTTCAGGTTAATATAACAAAGTACAGTGTATAAAAAAAATGAAGGAAAAAAAACCTTTGCTAGATTTACAATATTAATAAGTATAAAATGTGCCGTCACAGTCTGTGAAAAGGGGCAAGCCTTTTAAATTACAATTCAAATCCTGAATTTCATTTAAGGTAGCAGGCAGGGAACATGATTAAAATTAAAATTAAAAGGTAATGAAATTTCAATAATATTTATTAGTAATAATAATGCTTCTAATAATAGCAATAAGCATGAATTCAGCATGAATTGCCCATAAACATTTATGCACACAACATTTGTATTTCATAAAAACGATAAAACAACAATCAATGTTTAAAATGATACCTATATGAATTTATAATAATAATTCATTATATATATGTCAATATATTTATTTTGATAAAGTGTATGGCAAAATTATAATTAAAATGTTTTGTCAGCTTTGTTAATTGTTACGACAGTATAATATGTCTAGTTTTTAAAAAAATCTGGGAATTAATAACTATAATTGGTTAACAATTTGGGTCACACTTTATTTTAAGGTCCAATTCTCGCTATTAACAAACCATTAACTATGATTTTGCCTCAATAAACTCCTAATTTGCTGCTTATTAATAGTTAGTAAGGTAGTTGTTAAGTTTAGGTATTGGGTAGGATTAGGGATGTAGAATATGGTCATGCAGAATATTTGCTTTATGAACACTAATAAACAGCCAATATGCTAATAATAAGCATGCTAATAAGCAACTAGCTAATAGTGAGAATTGGTCCCTATACTAAAGTGTTACCAAATTAGATATCATATTTTGGACCTGTCACGATATGGTGTTGATGAACACGCACGAACATGAAGAAGAAGGTTAACGATCTTTAATAGATCCACACAAGGGTATATTCCACACAAAGGAAGGCTGGTGACACACATAACATTGATGTTCAAGACCCAACAAACACTAACTGAACAGACAGGAACTTAAGTACACAGACCAAATGAGGATAATTAATGAGACACGCCTGAACATAATGACAAACTCAAATTAGAAACAACTCAGTGAGAACGGTGCAAATAAAGTCCAAACTAACAGAAACCGTGACAGGACCTTTGTTGTGTGACTTTTTTTGAATTTCTGTGACCTGGAATTCAGTTAATAATACTTCAAAAACGTACTCTTGTTACTAACCTTGTGACCCTCAGGACATTTTGAATAAGCGCAACCCTCGTCTGGTACCTTACAACCTGCTGGATGAGAGAACCAAGAAGACCAACAGAGACAGTGTGAACAACGCTGTGCGCACTCTGATTGGCTATGGATACAACATCGAGCCCCCAGATCAGGAGAGCAGTGAGTCTTTGCTCTCCTGTCATCTCCTATCACTATTAGGATCACAAATATGGAACAGACCTTAATGAAGTCATTGGCCAACTTCAGATACATATCTGTTGGGATTCGTATCGTTTTTGCAGTCCTAATCTCTCTTTTCCCCCACAGGTGGTCTTGGTGTTGAGAACACACGTGGAGATAAAGTGCGTATCTTCAGGGCAGAGAAGCAGTATGCTGTTACCTCAGGAAAATGGTACTTTGAGTTTGAGGCCGTAACCACAGGAGAGATGAGAGTTGGCTGGGCTCGACCGAACGTCCGCTCTGACGTTGAGCTTGGTTCTGATGAGCTGGCCTATGTCTTTAATGGAAACAGGGTCAGTGGTGTCATATTAATCTAATTTTGCTGTGTTATATGGTACCAGGCTGTAGGCCATCTTTCCGGCTAATTGGACCAATACATTTTGTGTGCCGCTCAAGTTGCTGACAAACTATTTTGGATAGCTGCAATAAACGCTGAATTACTCTCCTCTGCTCTTCCTGCAGGCTCAGCGATGGCACATTGGTAATGAGCCATTTGGCCGTCAATGGCAGTCTGGTGATGTGGTCGGGTGCATGATAGACCTCACTGAAATGAACATCATGTTCACTCTTAATGGAGAGATGCTGATCAGTGATTCTGGCTCTGAAATGGCATTCAAAGACATTGAGATTGGAGACGGTGAGGATTTAGGCTATAACGTTGTTTATCAATGGGGTTTCAATTAGTTGTTTTGAAGGATAATGTGTTTTGTTTAATAAGCTTTGTCATTTAGCTGGTCAGGAAAAGTCTGTAGTTAGTTTTTGAATGAGTCTCAAGGTTTGTTTTCAATCCTGGTCTTGGATTTAAAAAGCTGTGTAATGAAAATGTATTTCTGTTTACCACTGATTGATTTTTTTTTGTTTTTACATTTAAAGAAAGGGATTCCAGATAATAGATGGATTATATTTTCTTTTTCCCATCAAACACAAAATCTAAATTTTTGAAGATTATTGTGGCCTTTTTTTTTTTTGTTGTTTTTTTTTTACAACAAAAGCATCATAAAAATTGTCCATATGATTAATATGCTACATTTTAAGCCATTCAATAGCTTTGGTCCCATAAGGGGGGAAAAACAGAGCAAAATTTAAGTTATTCTCTGGGTTTTTCCTCAAAATCTAATATGATATGTGGCTTTAGTAGGCCATTTCATGACTACAGAAGACTTTAAATTTAGTGCATGTGAACTAATTTAAAGTTTGTTATAAAAAAAAAAGAATAAGGAGTTTGCAATTACAACAATTTTGAAAGTTCTGTCAAAATACCATCTTGAGGCAATGCAGAATTAGATTTGAAGTACAAATCACTGTTCTCCTCTGTAAATTAGTGAAAAGCGTGGTGTGGTATAGTTCGTATGTGTGGGTGGAAAGGACGAAGGCAGGGTTGGTTACGGAGGCTCGTGGTTCTTTATTGGTTTCTCACAAAATAAACAAAACCTGCGCTCTCCGCGCCTCCAACTCAAACTTTCACGTAATCACAATCAGCCGCTTCACACAGTCCCAGTCTCTTTGACCACGAGTCGTCCGTCCAGCATCTCTCCCCCTCTCTCATTCCTGACGGCTTTTATTCGGTCTCTCCACGCCAATTACTGCAATAAGACACAGGTGTTTGTCATCTTGCACTTGACCTACTTACGCCCCGCCGGTTTCCCGACTCTCTCTCTCGCCGTAGACTTCGCTGCACCACACCCCCTTCGCCACAAGTGGAAATTACCAGAGGCCCCACAGTACAATATTATCACGGTTAAGTCATGATACGCTATTATTGCAGTTTTATACATTTTGTGACATGCTGAGTGTTGCGATAACATATATTTTCTACAGCAAATGCCCCCAAAAAACCTGATTTACCATACTTAGCTAAAGCTAACACTAACGCTACTACCAGAGCCCCCATGATTCTTAAGTCACAATATGATATTATTGCAATTTTACACATTTTGCGACATGCAGAGCATCACAACACCATACATTATGATTTAATACCTTTTTTCAATGGAAAATGCCCCAAAAGTAGCTGATTTATTGTCAACTTGGCCACCCTTTGCTAAGGCTATGCTAATGGATGGTGAAGTGTAAGGTGAGTCCTCATGTTCATGGTATTTCCGGAGTGTTTTATTTTCATACCACACTCCTTGCAAATCTTATGTGTCATATCCATCTCCTTCATCTCTTCCTTTTAATCTTATTTAATCACAGGATGCTTTCTGATTTATTTTTCCGATGCCTCCATCTCTGAAAAAAATACAAATAAACAGCACTATAGACTGAAAAAGCAATTATTATTCTAGTATCAAAAGTTCACTTCATATTTGCAATGTATATAATAAAAGATATAAAAAAATATTGCCATTCAAAATATTGCAATACTATGTTATATTCACCCCCTCCCCCACCTCTACTAAATCAGCTTCTTCTCTTTGTTCTTCTCCCTCCAGGTTTTATTCCAGTCTGCACTTTGGGTCTTTCTCAGGTTGCCCGTATTAACCTGGGTCAGAATGTTAGCAGCCTACGCTACTTCGCCATCTGTGGGCTCCAAGAAGGCTTTGAGCCATTCGCCATCAACATGAAGAGAGACATCACAATGTGGTTCAGTAAGAGCCTCCCCCAGTATGTTCCGGTGCCCACGGACCACAACCACATTGAGGTACTGTATTTAAGCAATTTTTGTGTCATTTAGTTGAGTTTAAAGGTATAGATAAAGTTTATCAACCTTTTTATTGTTCTCATGTGACCTGTAGGTCTCTCGTGTGGATGGAACCGTAGACAGCGCCCCCTGTATTAAAATAACCCACAAGACTTTTGGATCCCAAAATGCCAACACAGACATGCTGTTCTTCAGACTGAGCATACCTGTAGAGTTCCACCTGACCTTCATGGTGCCTGCAGGCACTACTCCCCTCACACGAACCCTCACCATCCCTGAAGAAGAGGTGCTGGAGGTGGACCCCGACTCTGACTTTGAGGTGCTGAAGAAGTCAGCCAGTCGCAAAGAGCAGGAGGAGAAGGAAAAGGAGCCATCCATGCCCAAAGATATCCCAAGCAATAAAGAAAATGACAAAGACACTGCATCCGAGAAAGGAAAGAAGAAAGGGTGAGATCTGAGGACTTTTATGAAGTTTATGCTAATATTTGTATATTTTAAAAATGTAAAATGTTGAAAAACACCCTCAAAATTATTCCCTCAGCTTCCTGTTTAAAGCTAAAAAGGCAGCCATGATCGCTCCTCCTCCACCTCCACCTATTATGCCCCGTTTGTTTGAGGATGTGGTGCCTGACGATCGTGACGACCCAGAGATCATCCTCAATACGACCACAGTCAGTCTTCATTACTAGATCTGTTATATATAACACACTCTTCGCTCTTGTTTTTTTACTTATGCTTCTCTCTCCCTGTCTCAATTGTGCAGTACTATTACTCAGTCCGTATCTTCGCCGGTCAAGAACCTAGCGGGGTATGGGTGGGTTGGGTCACCCCAGACTTCCACATGTATGACCTCAACTATGACCTGTCTAAGGTCCGCACTGTCACTGTCACTGTTGGAGACGACAAGGGCAATATACATGACAGGTGAGATGATATAAAAATTCAGCTCACTGATCTGCCATGTAAAATTACTGAAATGTGGGCCAGCGAGGGTAAATACAAGAAGCTGCAGTGCGGAGAAGCGTTTAGTTAAAAATAAATGTTCGGTATAGTGAGGTGATGTAGGTGAATATCGATTTTGGTGATGTAAGAGCAGTGCACCAGTGGTCACCGACCATCAGAATTAGTTGAGAGCAAGAGATTTTAAAGTGTAATGCCTACATTTATCATATTTTCAGTGTAGTATTTTGGATGTACAACACACATTTCAAACTTTTGGATCTAGAAAAATTATTGAAATAAAATTGATTTTCAATAAAAATGTAAACAACCTTGAAACAAGATAAATGTATTTGAGAAACAATACATATAATATTTTTTTTTTTTTCAGAGAATCTATTTTGAATTTCTTGTTCCATTGGCAAATAGTTCTTATTTTAAGCACAAACCTCACTATTTTTTTGAACAGATTTATGCTTAAAATAATGAACATTTTCTTTGCTAGAAATTGGGTAAGAAAAATACTTAATGTAAAACACTATCAGCAAATAAAATTTAATTTAAAAGATTAAATTATGATTATTTTTTTATTTAAGCAAATGCATACCAGCTAAAAAAAAAAAGATTTTTTTTAGTGTCTCTTATGCTTACCAAGGCTGCATTTATTTTATTGAAATTACAGTAAAATGTCATTACAGTTTAAAATAATTATTTTCTATTTTAATATATTATAAAATATAATTAATTGCTGTTATGTCAAAGCTGAAATTTCTGCAGTCTTTACTTCAGTCTTCAGTGACACATGATCTTTCAGAAATCATTCTAATGTGCTGATTTGGTGCTCAAGAAACACCCATTTATTTGAAAAGAACAGCATTTATTTAAAATAGAATTATAAAATAGAAATGTATATATCCTTTCTAAATAAAATTACTCATTACAAAGAAAGAAAAAGAAATAAAGACCACAAACTTTTTGACGGTATTGTATTATTTTATCATTTTGATTAAGCTACAAATATTTATTTATTCATCACTCAAGAACACTTACAATATTCTGTTTGCTTATCAGTATAAAGAGGAGTAACTGCTATATGGTGTGGGGAGGAGAGTTTGGCAGCAGCACCCAGCAGAGGTTTAGCCAGGAAGATCTGGTGATTGGTTGTTTGGTTGACCTGGCAACAGGTCTCATGAATTTCACAGCCAATGGGAAAGAGATCAACACTTTCTACCAGGTAAGTGAAGGTCATCTCTTCAAAGGAGGAACTGTAGTGGCACTTAAAAAGTCCCTGTTAGGAGTGCATTTTCTTAATTCGAACTCATATTTATACATATGCTTTGTCAGGTGGAGCCCAACACTAAGTTGTTTCCAGCTGTGTTTGTTTTGCCGACCAGCCAGAACATGCTGCAGCTGGAACTCGGAAAACTCAAGGTCTGCACTATCCTCTGTTTCTGGCGCTAAAAGTCATCAGCTTTCATTTAGAAATACTTTTACTAAAAATTTGTAGCCTTAAATTTCTCACTTCCCTTCTCCATCCTATAGAATATCATGCCTCTTTCGGCAGCCATGTTCCGTAGTGAGCGCAAGAACCCAGTGCCCCAGTGTCCTCCTCGGCTGGATGTTGAGATGCTGACCCCTGTGATCTGGAGCCGGATGCCTAACCACTTCCTGAATCCAAAAGTGGGGCGGGTGAGCGAGAGGCACGGCTGGATGGTGGAATGTACAGAGCCTCTCACCATGATGGCTCTGCATATACCTGAAGAGAACAGGTACAGGAGAACGAGACAAAAAAACAACTAAAAAACTAAATTGAAAACATTACCCCACAGGAAAAAAACCAGCCTACGCTGGTTGGCTGGTCTTAGCTGGTTTAAGCTGGTCTCCCAGTGTAATAGGCTCATCTCTGCATTGCTGTTTTCATCCTAGCCTGCAGGGGTCACTCTCCTTGAGCCCTTTGTCATGTTCCCTCCAGAACTGCAGATGGCGCTTGTATTATGAACTCTAGTCTCTCCGCTCCTCCAGATGGCGCCATCGCCCCGTACCATGTTCAGTATCCTGCTCATCAGCTTTGATTCCCCACACCTGTGTTTGACCATTTATAAGTCTGTTTGTTCCCCGCTATTGTGTTCAGTCTTGAGCCTATTCTTCCTGTGTATCCAGTTGCCAGTCCTCAAGTTAGGTTGGATTGTTCTTGTATTTTTTGGACCCTTGGGTCTTTTTTTTGTTTGATGGAAGTTCAGTTTTCTATGTTTATTTTGTACTTTGTTTCTCTAGTGAAGGTTATTTTAACTTTTTGAAGATTCAAGTCCCTTGGCTATTTTTGCTCTTCTGCTTTTGGGTTTAACTGTCTGGGAGTAGCTCAGTGAGTAATTTCACACTATTAGAGCGCCAGAGACCCGGGTGCAATCCCTGCTTAAAGCGGCCTCGTTACACCCAGACTGGTTGTTCATCTGGTCTCCCAGCCAGCCTGACCAGCTAAAGAAGTCTATCTATCTACCTATAGTCTTGAGCCTATTCTTCCTGTGTATACAGTTGCCAGTCCTCAAGTTAGGTTGGATTGTTCTTGTATTTTTTGGACCCTTGGGTCTTTTTTTGTTTGATGGAAGTTCAGTTTTCTATGTTTATTTTGTACTTTGTTTCTCTAGTGAAGGTTATTTTAACTTTTTGAAGATTCAAGTCCCTTGGCTATTTTTGCTCTTCTGCTTTTGGGTTTAACTGTCTGGGAGTAGCTCAGTGAGTAATTTCACACTATTAGAGCGCCAGAGACCCGGGTGCAATCCCTGCTTAAAGCGGCCTCGTTACACCCAGACTGGTTGTTCATCTGGTCTCCCAGCCAGCCTGACCAGCTAAAGAAGTCTATCTATCTACCTATCAATGGCCTAGAAAACCCTAGCAACCGGCTAACAATGATCATGAACACCCTAGCAACTGTCTACCAACCACCCAGAAGTAGTGATGGGAGAAACAAAGCTTTTCGAAGCATTGAATCAATTGAACCAATTGCTTCGAAAAATGATTCGATGTTTCGAAGCACTTGAAACAGGACATGCTGGCGACACCTGCTGGTGAAAACGTTGTAAAAGCATCAAGAACTCAGTGAATGTACTGATTGTTTTTACACATTTTTTAAACTATATAGCCATCTGTGTTAAAGGGAAGTCATCCTTTGTTTAACCCACAACATCTGGCCCTGAATTCTTTATTTTTTATAGTAAAATTTTGTGGGATTTCATGTCACGTGATTAACTGGGCAACCAGAAGTGGTTCATGGGTTAACTTTGAGATCAACACCCCCTAGTGGTGAACCATCAGAGTTTTGAAACGGTGTGACGTAACTAAGCTTCGTTTGCTAAAATCATGCGACCTGGCCGGTTTGATACACGCTCTGATACACTGATTCGATACAAAAGATTCACAAATGTTTCGAACGCGCCCATCACTACCCAGAAGATCTTAGCAAACAAATAGCAAAACCCTAGCAACCATCCAGAACACCCTAGCAACTGCATAGCAGAACCCTATTAACCACCAAGCTGTGAATATGAACACTCTTACAATCACCCAGGGCACCCTAGCAACCATGTAGCAACCATCCAGAGCACCCTAATAGCCACCTAGCAGCCACCCTAGGAACTGCATAACAACACCCTAGCAACTGCATAGCAACCACCCAGAACACCCTATAAACCACATGGCTATACCCTAGAAACCACATAGCAATCACTCAGAACACCCTAGCAAATAGCAACACCATAGCAGTGGCCCAGCAAAAACCTTATCAACCACCTGGAACACCCTAGCAACCGCATAGCAACACCCTAACAATCACCTAGCAGTGACTATAAACACCCTAACAACCACCCAGAACACCATATTAACCACATAGCAACACCCTAGCAACCTCATAACAAAACACCCAAAACACATTACCAAACGCATAGCAACATCTTAGCAATGATCCAGAACACCATAGCAACACCCTAGCAAACCACCCAACAATAATCTAAACCACCCTAGCAACCACACAGTAACACTCAGAACATCCTGACAACTGCATTGCAACACCCTAGCAACTGCGTAGCAGCCACCCAGAGCACCATAGTAACTTCCATAATCTGTGGAGAAGGGGGCGGGAGAAACAACTCTCCAATACTTTCAGTTTGGACTGCGGTACCAATTTCAACCACTAGATGTCAATATTAAATAGTAAGGATAGTCCACCCAAAAATTAATATTCTGTAATTAATTGCTCACCCTCTTGTCGTTCCAAACCTGTAAGACCTTCATTCATCTTCGGAGCACAAATTAAGATATTTTTGATGAAATCCGAGAGCTTTCTGACCCTGCATAGACAGCAATGCAACTGACACGTTCAAGACCCAGAAAGTTAGTAAGGACATCATTAAAATAGTCCATGTGACATCAGTGGTTCACCTTAATTTTATGAAGCAACGAGAATACTTTTTGTGCACGAAGAAAACAAAAATAATGACTTTATTCAACGATTTCTTCTTATATGGGCCAGTCTCCACCGCCATTCACAAGAGTACAATGCACACACATATGTGAATGTGAATGTACTAATGTGAATGTGCATTTAAGACTGGCACGGAAGAGAACAATTGTTGAATAAAGTCGTTATTTTTGTTTTCGTTGTGCACAAAAAGTTCTGTCTATGGAGGGTCAGAAAGCTCTCGGATTTCATCAAAAACATCAAAAACATCTATTATATATATATTTTATATTCTATATATAGAATATATATATTCTATATATTTGTGTTCCACAGATGAACGAAGGTCTTAGGGGTTTGGAACGACATGCTTTTTCACTTTTTCAACTTTAGTTAGTCTGTAATGTTGCTGTTTGTGCATAAAAAAGATCTGCAAAGTTGCAAAGCTCAAAGTCCACTTCAAAAGGAGATATTTTATTTAACAGAAATCACTTTTCAAAAACTACAACGAATTAATTGTTTGGACTACAACGCATATTTTCTGGGATTTGTGATATCATAAATATCGATGAATGGGGCGAGACCTGGTTGAGCTGCACTAGAGAAGGCAACGAGTGTTATCACTATGTCTGAGACACGCTAGCTTTCCCAAGGCAGACAAACTTAGAGTAGTTACAATCATCCGGGTTTAAATCGTGCTCAGATTTATTTGATTTTGACACAGTATTTACACTGAAGCTCGCAGGCGGCTATGGTAAGGGGCATGACATTTCCTGACCAAGCGCCGAGTGCTGCCAATCACAACACACACTGGCCCAGCTAACCAATCACAGCATATTTCGTATTTGAGAAGGCGGGCCTTCATTTGATTCAGGAACTATTCGAGCAGTTCATGCCAGACTGGGGAGAGAGGTGTGTAAAATATGTGAAAAATAATGTGTTTTTCGAACAACCTAGTATGAGAGCCTGTTCTAGTACACCCCCAAAACAAAATCAAGACTTTGTAAAAGAGCATAAAAGGACCCCTTTAAAATCTTCAAAATTTCTTTCTGGCCAGGCTTTCTCAAGCCAACATCAAAGTTTGTCTTGCCAATTTTTTAAATCTAGTTATGTGTTGTTCAATAGTGGATGTGTTTCTCTCTCATATGCAGGTGTATCGACATCCTGGAACTGTCTGAACGGCATGACTTGCTGAAGTTCCACTATCACACTCTCATGCTTTATTGTGCTGTGTGTGCATTGGGCAACAACCGTGTGGCCCATGCCCTCTGCAGCCACGTGGACGAATCACAGCTCTTCTACGCAATCGAGAACACCTACCTGCCCGGCCCTCTTCGCAGTGGCTACTACGACCTTCTCATCAGTATCCACCTGGAGTCAGCCAAACGCAACCGCTTGGGAACCAATCGTGAGTTTATTGTTCCCATGACAAAAGAGACGCTCAGCATCACGCTTTTCCCGGATGCAGAAGCGGCCCATGACCTGCCAGGAGTAGGTCTCACGACCTGCCTCAGACCCAAGCTACACTTCTCCCCCATCAACTTTGTGGGTACTGACCCAGATCTGTACACCATAAGCCCCATCATTCCTCTGCAGGTACGATGAGGATACCATGGAGTTCAAAGCTGATTGTTGGTAGACAGATTATCTCTTTGTTAACATCTGCACTCTTTCGTCCCTTACAGGAACTGAAGACCAAGGCTCTAAGCATGCTTACTGAAGCCGTGTTCGACGGCAGCCAGGCCATGCGTGATCCTGTTGGGGGCAGCGTTGAGTTTCACTTCGTTCCTATTCTCAAACTAATCAGCACCCTCCTCATAATGGGCATCTTCAACGATGAAGACGTCAAGCACATTCTCAAGATGATCGATCCCAATGTGTTCGGAAAGAAAGAGGAGACAGGAGAGACAGAGGAACCAGAAGAGGAAGCTGCTCCCAAGGAGGAAGGAGAGGAGGTGAAAGAGAAAGAAGAAGCGGCTGAAGGAGAAGAGGAAGCCGTGGATGAGGGAGTTGGGGAGGAGGAGGAGGAGGATGAGGAGCTGAAAGCTCTGAAGAAGGAGATGGGACAGGAAGGAGAAGAGGTTGAGAAGGCAGTAGAGGAGGAGGAGGGAGAGAAGGTGGATGGAGAAAAAGCCGGGGAGGAAAAGGAGGCAGAAGAAGTAGGTGAGGAGGCCAAAGAGGAGGAAGAGGAGGCTCCAGAGGAGGGACTACTTCAAATGAAGCTGCCAGAGTCTGTCAAACTGCAGGCAAGTATCTATCTATCTATCTATCTATCTATCTATCTATCGGTCTATCTGTCTGTCTATTTGTCTGTCTGTCTGTCTGTCTGTATAAAGTATCTATCTATCTATCTATCTATCTATCTATCTAAAGTACTTATTTGTCTTCCCTCCATCTCTCTCTTTGTTTATCTTTTTGACTGTCTGTCTACATATTTTTATATGCCTAGAATATAAATTTCATATTATTGTATATACTGTATATTATGTATATTTTCTCTCGTTTGTATGTTTTATTAATACTGCTTCTGTGTGTTTCTCCCTGTCTTTCAGATGTGTACCCTTCTACAGTATTTCTGTGACTGTGAGCTCAGACACAGAGTTGAGGCAATTTTGGCATTCTCTGATAAATTTGTACAGCAGATCCAGTCAAACCAGCGTGAACGATACAATGACCTAATGAGAGCATTTACAATGTCTGCTGCAGAGACCGCTCGCAGGACCAGAGAGTTTCGCTCTCCTCCTCTGGAACAGGTATAATACACAACTCTTCATTTTAAACCCACTTATGATTTTAATTGCTTTCACGGTGACTAATCACTGATTGTGTGCGTATATGTAGGTTTTCCTGTTGACTAACTTCAAGCACAGCCCAGAAGACGAGGATTGCCCTGTGCCAGAGGAAGTGCGGGAAACCCTCCAGAATTTCCACAATGAGCTGCTGAATCACTGTGGTCAGTGTTCAAAATATCTCACAAAAATCACTCTATGGCCACATTACAACAACTAAACACCAAGCGGCTGCTGTTGCAAAATCATCTTGTGATCAAATTCTCTACAACCAGTTCAGTTTCTGTTTTTTCTTTTAAGGATTCAAACTAAAATATTGTTGATTTTTGTACCTCAGGTGTCCACGTAGAAGAAGAAGCAGAGGAGGAAGAGGTAGAGGCGTCTCTGAGAGGGAGACTGCTCAGTTTAGTGGAGAAGATCAAGACCTTTAGGAAGAAAAAGGAGGAAGAGGAGCCAGAACCAGAGGAAGAGCCCAAACCTAGTGAGTAAATGAAGTAAAACATCTTGAGAAGGTTGTTCAGATTGACCTCATCAAATGAATGCAATTATAGATCAATATTTTTGCTTTTAGTTCAAAATTTTACTATTTTTAGTGTTAGTCTAACATTTCCAGAACATTTTATGTCTCAGGTACTTTACAGGAACTGATATCCCACACAATGATCCACTGGGCACAGGAGTCCTTTATTCAGAACCCTGAGCTGGTGCGGCTCATGTTCAGTCTTCTTCATCGGCAGTATGACGCTCTGGGAGAGTTGATCCGCGCCCTGCCAAAGGCCTATGCCATCAATGCTGTGTCCATACAGGACACAATGGACCTGCTGGAGTGCCTGGGACAGATCCGTTCCCTTCTCATCGTCCAGATGGGCCCGGAAGAGGAGAGGCTTATGATTCAGAGCATTGGGTGGGTACTTCAAAAACCTGGATATATATCATTTTTTTAAATCTCATGCACACCAAGGCTGTGTTTAATTGATACAAATATGGTAAAAACCGTAATACTGTGAAATATTATTTAAAAAAACGTATCTATTTGAATATATTTTATAATGTAGTTTATTCTTGTGACGGCAAAGCTGAATTTTCTGCAGCCATTACTTCAGTCTTCAGTGTCACATGATCTTTCAGAAATCCTTCTAATACGTGACCCTGGACCACAAAAACAGTCATAAGTAGCACGGGTATATTTGTAGCAATAGCCAACACTTCATTGAATGGGTCAAAATGATCAATTATTATTTTATGCCAAAAATCATTAGCATATTAACTAAAGATCATGTTCCATGAAGATATTTTGTAAATTTCCTACTGTAAATATATCAAAACTTAATTTTTTATTAGTAATATGCATTGCTAAGAACTTCATTTGGACAACTTTTAAAGGCTATTTAAAAGTTTAGATTTTTTTTGCACCCTCAGATTCCAGATTTTCAAATAGTTGTATCTCAGCCATTTCACAAAAATGTACCCTTATGACTGGTTTTGTGGTCCAGGATCACATATGATGATTTAGTGCACAAGTAACATTCCTTATAATTATCAATTTCAATCAAACTGCTTAATATTTTTGTGAAAACTGTGATGTATTTTTTCAGGATTCGTTAATAAATAGAAGGTTTGAAAGAATATCTAACATTACATTTAACATTGTATTTGCTGAATAATGTTTGTTCTCATTCCCTGAACTTCTCCAGAGTCATTATGTTTTTACTGGACATCATATCTTTTGTATCATATTTAGTATTTCAAATGCATATTGTCTCTTGTCTCATAGGAACATCATGAACAACAAGTTGTTCTACCAGCACCCTAACCTGATGCGAGCTCTGGGCATGCATGAGACGGTCATGGAGGTTATGGTCAATGTACTGGGAGGTGGAGGAGACTCTAAGGTACTTTCCTATTTATATATATACAGTGGGTACGGAAAGTATTCAGACCCCCTTAAATTTTTCACTCTTTGTTATATTGCAGCC